GGGGGGGGGGGGGGGTGCTTCACCTCCAGAAAAAAAATACAACTAATGCAAATGCAGCCACCACATATAAAGACTGGGAATCAATATGTTACATTTCTGTTTTTGCTGCTAGATGCACAAGGATATAAATGACCTGATTGCCATGTGATCCATTTTTATCTTGTATGCAACCCTGTGAACAGTTTCCATACCGTATCCTTCCCGTTCAAGCAAATTCTGTAGTGGGTAGTCCTGAGAGCTGCCACCTCGTGCCATTTTGCAGCAAAGAAAACTGGGACCATTAGGGTTCCTGGCTCATTTCCACCATCAGGAGCTTTGGTGAAGACTAACTGTCATTTAGATTCCACACCTTGGGTGAGCCCGTGTCACCTGCCAGGAAGCACCATAAAAAAATATAGATATACATTTGCGTTAATATTAAAATAAAAAATTGTATTTGCCATCAACTAATTTTTCAGATCATCTGTTTCAAGAGTATGACTCGTGTGTATATATACAGGGCTCAAAATTTCAAGTCATGAGCTACTAGCCAGGCCTTAAGTGTCACTAGCCACCAGTTGCCCACCTAACCCTAACCCTGCCCCGTCCTTAACCCCGCCCCTAAACACACCCTCTTAAATAATCTTATGATAATTCTTATCTTATGATAGTTGCCGCTTGTAAACGGCAGATTAGGGATTCCTGCTGCAGGAAAACGCAAGTTCCTGACACAGGAATCTCTAATCACACCTGAAATATACTGTAGGTGTGAATGGGGCCTAATATACACATACACTAAAGGTGTCCATACACCTGCTGATTATCGTACAATAATTGCGGGTGATCCCGCGATCGTACGATAATCGGCAGGTGTATGGGCAGCGTGCAACACCTTCTACTGTAAGGTCGTACGACTTTCGTCTTGCAAGCACGCTGGAAAACCTGCCGAAAATGGTACGATTTTTGTCGGGTTGGTGGCGTGGTCGGAAGACGAATGCCGCACGGGCCGCAAGCGCACACTGCCCACTCTGCACTGCAATCATCGGAAGCCCTCCCCACACACATAAAATAATATACTGCCCCCTTATTGGATTTGTGCATTTTCATGTTTAATAAAATTAAAAACTGGCCCGGCAGTGAAAGAGTTATTAAAGGATAATTTCATTTTTACTGGGTAGTTGTAGTTAATGATATTTAAGAATTTTTGCCACTTATCCAAGTTTCACCTCTTAATAAAAGTCGTTCAGAAAAGAGATGCACTAAATGAGTGCTCTCAGTGCTTCTCAACCTTAGCGAGACCGGGGCCTTCCATGCCCAAACAGTAAAAAAGAAAAAGGGCCCATAAACCTCAAGACAAACCTCCACTATATATGAGTCTCTGTACACAGAACAGACACAGAGCTAATACTCTGCATGAGTTTACCTTTAGCCCTCATTCACACGGGTAACAGCCGGCCCGTACAGATCCGTGCTGCGTGCACGGCCATATCGAGCCGCTCCCGGGAAGGACAGGTGCTGCGTGGGATTGCACCCACCAGCCTGTCCTCTATGGTAGTACGCAAGCGTACGCCACCCTACGATCACTTGAACTGCGCGTCTGTGTGGGTGTCCCGGCTCGGACGCAGACAGGATCCATCCTGTTGGCGTACAAGTACGGACACCCGCACGGACGTGCAGGTCAGGTGAGCGTGGGGAGGTGTACGGCCGCGTACTCCCATAGAGAAGGACAGGCTGCAGCACGGATCTGTACGGGCCGGCTGTTAGTCGTGTAAATGAGGGTTTAGAGGAACTTCATTAAAATGGTTGTGTTCTGGGAACAACTTCCTACCAACAACTGTTGAGACGATGAACACACTTAATGAACACGTATGTAATCAACAGCACATTTTAAATGCAATAGTCAAGACTATGTTACATACAACATGACGTAGAGAATGCAGTTGTCAGGAATAGTGAAAAAACACTATTGAGGGTTGACTTAGGTACACCACCAGCAGAAGTTCAATAATGATCTTTAGATACCCATAAAGCAGACAGTCTACCCAGCCTGATCATGTGTCAATTATTACATCTCCAGGAAGCTGCAAACACGATTGCTGTCAGATGAACTGTCTATCTGAGCCAAAAAAAATATATCTGCAAATTCCAGGCCTGCTGTATGAACATGAAGCTTGGAAGGTGCAACCATGGAACCATGCAAACCTTCATTTGTACAAAAAGAAAAGTCATCATGTGGTGGTGCTGCCGATTGTGTTTGCAATCTTTGTAAAGTATGCCCATAATTATATACAGATGCACATACCCTGAAGGGCTTAGTAAAATGATTTCTCTACATAAAAGAATACGATACACAACGCTCTGTAACATTTAGGCCTCATTTACACGAGTAAATGCCGGCACGTACAGCTGCGTGCTGCATGCACGGCCGTATCGGGCGGCTCCCAGGAAGGACAGGTGCTGCGTGTGATTAGTACGCAGCCCCTGTATTTTTCTGTAGGACTACTCGGTGTACGCCGCCCTACGCTCACCTCAAGTGCAGGTCCGTACGGGTGCGTGTGTCCCGGCTCAGTGGTAGACAAGATCCATCCTGTCAGCTAACGAGTACCGACACCCGCACGGACGTGCACTTGGGGTGAGCGCAAGGCAGCATACGGCTGCATACGCCCATAGAGAAGGACGGGCAGTGTACTAATCACACGCATTACCTGTCATTCCCAGGAGCGGCCCGATACGGCCGTGCATGCAACACGGAGCTGTACGTGTAAAAAAACATTCTCCTGCCACAAGGT